TTTGGAAAAAAGACTTTGTGTACCTAATTCACATATCTTACAATTTTTTTTCAAGTTTTCCCAACAGTCTCTCCCCACTTCTCAGCAAAATAATAGTGCAAGATTGCTCTGAACTGCCTCCCTCCTATTATCAAAGTGTATTCTAAATTCTGTCAAGAATAATTTAAACATTTTTGAGAAAAACTGCATTCTTTGAAGCACTCCCCGGCGTCTTGTCTTGCTTTGACATTTTTACTTAAAAGGGTATATAATGAGGCAGTTGCAGCTATAAGTTACTAAGTTATAATGCACTTGAAAAGTTACTTGGCTGGCTGGCTGTCTTCCATTGTCTGTTTTTATGTTTTTATCATTCTGATTTCTGAAGGCTTTCCATTGTTCAGTGAATAGCCAGCTTACTAATAGGTTTTGACGGTCTCACACAATATTCTTGTAGCCGAATTATGGTGTTACAGCCTGGATGGATGGGCAACAAGATGGATAAATAACTGGTTGGCTTAGAGGACAGCAGTTAATGGGTCGTACTCTACCTGGAGGCTGGTAACAAGCAGCAGACTGGTCTTTCCTGGAGGAGGTGATGGAGGGCACTCTCATCAAGTTTGCTGATGACACCAAACTGGGGGGATCAGTCGATACAGCAGGGCAGGGCTGCCCTCCAGAGGGACCTAGATAGACTGGGGGAGTGGGCTGATGGGAAAATTATGAAATTCGACAGGTACAAATGCAAAGCCCTGCACCCAGGCAGGAGGAGCCCCTGCAGCAAGACCAGCCGGGGACTGACCGGGGAGCAGCTCTGCAGAAAGGCCCTGGGGTTGTGGTGGGCAGCGAGCTGGGCAGGAGCCAGCAGCACGCCCGGCAGCAGGGGAGGCCACAGCGTCCTGGGCTGTATGAACAGGAATGCGGCCAGGAGATCAAGGGAAGGGATTATCCTCCCCTACTCAGCATGTCTACATGCTGTGTCCAGTTTTGTAGTCATTCTTCTAGTTTGTTTTATTTGTAGCCATACTTATTCGGGAAACCTGTTGTGCATAACTGGAAAATGTTTTAGATTAAAGTATAAAACGGTCACTTAGTTTGTTGGTCGGATCGAAACTTTAGATACTGCGGCAGAATTTTAATTTGTAGGAAGTGTCAGTCAGGCATATGAATGATTTCAGAAAATGGTGTCCTTTGTACTTGAGGTATATGGTTATAAGCTATCGTAATTTGTTCCTTTGGATTCTTCTAGCATCTAGTTCAACCACTTAAGATACGGGGTGGGGGGGAGGTTTTCCCAGAAATACAGTTCATTTGTAAATAAAAATGTTTTATAAAGTCATTAAGAAATAATCTATCCTGAGGTCCTGGCTTTAATAAATTAATCTTGTAATAGGAATACAGTGTCTGGTTAGCACAGGTTCTGGCTGCAGAAAGATATAAGAAATGTAAATCGAGATGTGAAAACATGGATGTTGTACCAAATAATAATATTGTACTCCTAGTCTCGTCTTGATTTCTAAGTCTTTGGCCTATTTGTACAGCTATATGGTGATTTTTTTTTTCCCCCAGAAAAAAGGCTGAGGCGGGAAACGCCTCTAGGGAAAATCAGTGCATTAAGGACTACACTCCGGGCACTGATTTTTTTTCTTACTGACCTTTAAGAGCACAGGGCAGTCCTTTTAATGACTGGAATTAGCTGGTACAGCTTTCCAGGTCCCATTAGCTGATATAGGCAGGATCCACAGGGGCAGAAGCAGATGATGACTGTAGCTTTTTCTCACGCTGAGGTGTTGGGAGAGGTGGAGTCATCCCCTGAAACTTCCAGGTAAATCCTCACCTGGCTAGAGGAGGCGAGGGCAGCGCAGCGTCTCAGTAGGGCTGCACGTACCCAGAGGCTGCTTCAGGCTGGGGTGACTGGTTCCAGGGTAGAACCGACTCCCATGCTTCAGCGCCTGCATGGTGAGTGCAAGGCTAGGGCGGGCGCGTTGTTCAGCGGTGTTGGAGAAGGTGAGGTTTTGTAGCAAGTGGAAGTTTTGTGGACGAGTGCTGCCTCTTTGCTTGGGCTTCGAAGGAGGTGGGCTGTAAGTTGTAGTGTGGCTGCGAGGGAGGTGAGCCGTGGGCTGGCCACGGGGCTGTTCCTGGGGATGGTACAGAAGGCTGTGTGTCAGCACTTGAGTTGCCAATTTTTAAGAAATATTTTGCCTCCTTTTAGTTCTGTTCTCTTGAAAGTCATAGCTGGTGTAGAATTGAAGTCGCCTTGTGTTTGGGTTATTATGGCAAGTCCTGTAAGTCTGCATCTAATTGTGAATTAGCATTTTCTCTGTAGTCTGGGTTTTTTTTTCTGTGCACAGCAGTGCGATTAAGAAATAGGTGCAGTTACTAATTCAAAGGTACAATTTTATGGTGAAAGGAAAAATGCGATAATACGTTAAGCGTGTCAGGTCTCAGTGGTGTCTGTAAGAATTTGTATGTGGACGTGAACAGCATATGAGGGTGTATGGATGATACTTTTGTCTTTCTTAGAACTCCTTTGGTGCTGGCTCTATTCAGTGTTTTATAAACATGTAAAACTACACTTGGATTATGGAAAACATAATTCTGAATAGCTTTGTAAAAGGAACAATAGACCCATTTTTCTGTTGTTTCAGGTTTGACCGTTAGCTTCATCTAGCCATCCTTAGCATTTCTGACAACAAACAGAAACCCCACATGGAGCAGTTTGGTTTTGCTTAGCCAAGCAACTTTTACTATACCTGGCAGAGCGTGAAATCATGCAGCAAGGTTCTTGATGTTAACGCTCTGTAACTGACTTTGGAGAACAAGCCTATGACAACTCTTCAGCCAGAGTATTTTGAGTTTCTCTAGAGTATGTCAGCACAGCGGGCAGCTGTTACCGTTTAGCTTTGGCCAGTGACAATGCCAATAGTTAACAGGACATTTTAGGCAAAATGAAAAAAACAGAGGGTGCAGTGCTAAGAAAAAAGTTGTATCAGTCTCATACGTTGTTTGGATACTGTCTCTGTTCTGGAGTTAAAAATATCCTGAAGTATCAATATAGAGCGCAAAACTGTCAGAATATATTATGAGAAAGACAGGATATTTCTGTTGTCAGTGAGAGCCGCTGGCTTTTGTTATTACAATTGAATAGCATTTCTGCATCATACACAATGTTACTAATAATTGCTCATCATTCAGGACTGTAGTAAAGGAGTTGCTCCAAGGAACACAGAGTCATCGTACATCACAGTGTACTTGATAATAAAGACGTGTTGACTTAAAGGAAAACGCTTTCCTTATTATATGCTGATGTTTTACTTCTGAAAAATGCTTTTAGAAAAAGATGTCAGCTTATTTACTGATGTTTTAATGGATATTTGGTGTGTCAGTCCAGTTTTATGGCTCCTTTTGGCAACTAGCACAGCTCAGTTGCTTCTGTATATGATCTGTGACGATGCAGGCAACAGAGTGAATTACTGCTCTCTGATATTTTTGCCTGGTTTAATACAACATATTCTGCATTTGGATAATAATCTCCGTAATGGTAAATGCTTTTAATTAATTTCCTTATTTTAAAATATCATTAACGTGACATTTTCCCTGAAAGACTAACATGATGCTTGTCCTAGAAAACCTTATGCTCTTTCAGCATTTATCCGTATGGATGCCGTATTCTAGCTGTGTCTGTCTGGTGTGTGGAAGCTTGGACATTTTTTACCCAGCAGTATTTGCTGGGAGCTTCCCTTAATGAGTAGAACAGCCCAGACCAGCAGCTCTTCTCGCCACCCCCATCCTTTCCATCAGCAGCTCAGCTAGCAAATTCTTTTTTTTTATTGTAAGCAGAGAGCTCGTGAGACTGCTTTAGAAAAACGGACAGAGAATTCCGGGAGGAAGGTTTCGAATTTATATGTTCTTCCTAAAAAGCATTTTTTTCTAGAGCATGTTCTAATAGTGGTCTGGCCAGAGTTAGCACTTCAATAGCTACCACATCTTTTTATTCTAGAAGATGTTATTCTTCATTAGACGGCACGATTCTTTTCTTTGTACATCCTCCGGCCAGTCAGCGACTCCTGTAGAGCAGAACAGGAGGGAAGGCGTTCTTCTAATCGTATTCAGTCTAATACTTCTTTCACTGTAGGAGGAAAGAGGAACTGCTAGAGACCCAGCATAGATACGTATAAGCAAATTCGGTTGTCACTGTACATCTGTAGAAGCCATACAGGCTGGCCCTTTCTGCTTGGTCTCACATTAGTAATTCATGGCAGTTGGCTCTGCTTTTTTGATGTCGGTATCATCATCGTCTTCTGGCACATTCTTTGCTGCTGTATACAGAGAAGACCCTGTATATTGACCTTAATGACTGTGTGGTGGTGTCGTCGAAAAAGGTACTGCTTAGCTACCCTCTGTCGACTCAGGCTGCCTTCACAGCTTCTGTGGATACGTACCTGCGCTACATGTGGGATATTCTTCAAAGGATTTTTCCAGTCTATCTGGAGGCTGACAAAAGCAGAATCTCACACGCATGTGCATGCACAGACATATGTATGTATGTGTATTTATATGTATGTACTTATAAGCATACGTACATATATATCTCTCCACCTGTATTGTGGTGGAAATGTGCTGCAACATTCAAATTAAAAGCATTACTTTTATGTGTATTAGGTACATACGATAGCAGAAGCATCACTGTCTGATAGCTTTTTTTGGCAGAATTCTGAAATCCCAGTTATTGACGGACTGCTTTCAGGTGTTGCCGTTTATATAGTTCAAGAAATCTGCATCTTGCCTCAAGATAAATAGTTATGACATCACTTTAATGTGAAGGTTATGCTGCCTAACACGGTATTCTTACCCTCTCAGTTTTACAATATAGTTGCAAAGCACAGAAGCCTTCTTTTATAACAGCCTGTGTTAACAGCCTGTGTTAACAGTCCGTCAGTATTGAACTGGTCCAGTAGCTTTTAAATTCTGAGAGTCGGGGATATGCATGCAATATTTTATTTGTTTGTTTGTTTTATGCTCAGCTGAGCTAGATGCTGAACATGCACAGAAGGTTTTGGATATGGAGCACACCCAGCAGATGAAGCTAAAGGAACGTCAGAAGTTCTTTGAAGAAGCCTTCCAGCAGGACATGGAGCAATACCTTTCTACAGGATACTTGCAGATAGCAGAGAGGCGAGGCAAGTTTTAAAATACCTTCTTGTAATCCACAAACTCACAACTTGGGGAACATTGTTGAGGGGTCAGAGTCAGCAACGGTTTTAATGCTTACAGCTGACGCATTGCAGCGTCTAAATTCTTCCTTGGTGGAACTGAAACTTCAGATAAGCTCTTTAAACAAACTTAGGGTTCCAGGGAAACTCGACAACTTAGAAAATCAATCAGTCAGACTCTCTGCTTGTTGTCTGAGGAAATGCAAAGCACTGAAGTATGTCTGGAACAGCACTTTTCTCTGCAGCTGAAGAGTGCATCCATATCTATAAAGATATGGATGGAGGTGGCCGCTTCTGTACGCTGAAGTTGCAAAGCCTGGGATTGTCACCTGCCAGAAGGTGCCTCAGAAAAATTTTAAAAGCGCAGACGAAAGCTCAGTGTTGTATTTCAAAACAGTTCCCAGGTGGTAGCTATTTCCATTGTCTATGTAACATGCAGAGTGTGATTAGGACATGGGAGATCAGATTAAGCTCTCTCCTTATGATGAGATGACTCAAGTCTGGCATCTCCCGACTAGTTAAAGCACAAGAATGCCATAGGCTACAGACGCTTCTGTGTGGGAGGTATCCATCTGTTGGGCCAAAACTTCGAGATTGTAGGACCAGAAAGCAAGCAAGCAGGAGATTACGTCACTCATGTGGCAGGAAAAAATGTAGAGATTCTGTCCCTGCTCCGAGGCCAGTTCTGCTGTCATTTGTAATGTCGGAGCAGGGAATACAATCCAAGATTTCCATTTCTCTGCATGAGTGCTATAAACACTCATCTGCAAGATACTCTAGATTGGTTGCTCAGACAGCCTTCTGAGAAGTGGGGTATGTAAGTTTTAAATTCCTTTGGTCTAGGAAGGAATTGAGTTTGGGTCTCCTGCTTTTTATATATATATATACACACACACACCACTTAGGCTAAAAGTGGACATTGTCACTGGCTAGTTAGTGCTGGATACTTGGCTCTCAGAAATTCAGAACGCCAAACTTTCTGAACTTCAGCTTTGCAGTATAATGCAGAACCCACATATATCAAAGAAACTGTTTTTATGAAAGATTTGATCCTGCAGCTATAGTATATTTGGGAAAAAAACCAGCAAACAAATGATAGGATTTTGTCTCGGTTCACATATGAAGGCGTTTAATAGTGTAACTATTGAATTTAGATAAACCATTAAACTGTTCATTATAATGTTTGATGTTATACCTGCAGCAACTGGACTTAAATCTGACTACCCCTGGACTTACTTGTTCTGTTTGTATGCTTTATTGTTCAAGGAAGAAGATGCTCATCCAAGTACTAAATTCCTGTGTGAATTGTCGGTATAATATTGATGATAATAAGTAGTTTGCTTGAGTAATTAATAATGTGAAATCCCCATGCTGGGAGAAGATACTGGGTATCAGCCTAGGTTTTACACACTACTGTCATTTATTAGACTGATTGATTGAATGAGGAAGAAGAATGGCTGCTCTCTGTTAACATTAATCCTTACCTCTGAATTTTCACGTCCCTTTGTGTACTGACATTTAGTGATCGTGTGTTTAAATGTGTGTGTTTTTCTCTAAAAAGACTTCCAGTCGAGAGAATTGGAAAGGAGTGTTACAAAATGGAAAGTTTCGATCTTCGCCCCTGAGCCCCATCCTAGCATATTTCTGACAATGCTCTTGCTGTAAATGTTGTTGCTAAAAATGTTTTGTTTTACAAAAAGAGTAATGGACGTTAGTTTCACAACGAAGATTGCACGGAGTACTCTTGGATTTGCCTGAGATTGCTGCTGAGCAGCTCCTGGGGGTGTGCTCCTTCCATATCTAGTTTAATTATTACTAATGCGTACAATTATAGCAGCTCTTGAAGCCTTTATAGGCAATAACATCATGTGGCTGACTGTCAGTTTGCTCATTGCACTATTTTTACTGCAGAACCGATTGGAAGTATGTCTTCCATGGAGGTGAATGTGGACATGCTGGAACAGATGGACCTAATGGACATGTCTGACCAAGAAGCGCTTGATGTCTTTTTAAACTCAGGAGGCGAAGACAATAATATGCTTTCTCCCATGCTGGGTATGATACTAGTAATGACAGCGTGCTTAGAGACAAAGTGATAAATCACCGGCATTGCTCTAATTTGTAATGGATTATGTTATCTCGTAAGACATTACACTGTACGTAGATTGAGTTTTTTTCATTAGTGGTTTTCAAAACATTAACATTTAGTTGCAGTACAAGAGAGCTTGCTGCAAAATGACTCGATACTTCTGGACTGTCTCTTTTTTTTTTATCCAGTTACTACAGCTTCATGTTGTACTTGTCACGGTGTGGATAGGTGATGTGTGACATACTGCTTTCAAGGTGCATTTTTCTCTATATAATCGAGGACAGTTTAACGAACATCAACAGAAAGTTTGCGGTAGTTAGGTTTTTTTACCACTGCTTTCTTAGAATTTGTCCAGAATTTTGGCATTTTTGAAGTAAATTCGGACCAGTTGTATAGTGCAAGATCTTCAGTGAGAGATATTCAGAGACATGGTTCAACATAGCAGTTCATACGCATAAAACACGACAGTGTTCTGGAGGCTTCTAAATAGTGATTCTGCTACTGCAGCTCTTTCACGTAGCCTTCTTACTGCTAGTAATGTTAGCTAAATTGGATTAATCTTAATCCAAAATTTTGTTTATGTGTTCTGATGAACAAAACCAGACTTACGTTTTGGCAAGTTGCAGCATGATGAGGGACCTGCTTAAAGCAGGCAATTAGTAATACTGGATACTTTATCCACGAGGGAAGTGTGCTTTCTTAATTAAAAACTTACTTTAGTACTAAAATGCCTTTTCCCAAAAGAGCCAAAATAAGTTTTCTTGGGGGAGATGATGAAGCTCCTTCAAATGTACTTAGATTTCTTTTGAAAATAGGGGTTGAAATATTTTTATAAAACTACTTACAGTGAAGAAACAATATGTACTTCAAATTCTATCCTGCATTTTGGGATATGTAAAGAAGAATGTTAATAATATCCTGGGGTAATTTTCTTCCTCCCTATGTAAAGGTGATTATTACCTGCTGTGAACATGAAAAGCTCACAGTAAGTAGTCAAGGCACACTTGACTACTAAAGGTTTTCGTGTTTTATTGCAAAAACTAAATTCAGATGGCTGGTTTTGGATAGGCATCCAATTCATGCATTATTAAAGTTGATCAGCATTTGAGAATGCGAGCCGTTACAGAATCTAGGACTGTTTTCCCCTTGCTGGGTCTTTGGCAGACACTGGGCCAAGAAGCTTCATGTCTTAACAGCAAACGGTATAACTGGATTATCTAGGGAAGTGTAGAAACTACTAGGTGTGGTTGGTTTTTCCTAAATAGATGTAAAACTTACTAGCCTTTGGAAAAAAAAAAACTATATATTTTGTGCTGTAATGTTTTGAAAAAAAAAACTATATATTTTGTGCTGTAATGTAAGTATTACAGTGTGTATGTATGGATAGAGTATATACATATATATATTTATTATATATATGCGCATTGCAGCACTGGTACATTATATTACAGTGTATGTTCTAGCACTGTAATGTTAATGCAGAGGTTGGATAGGCTTGCAACAAGACTTACTCCTCTACAGTTACTACTACAGTGTAACAGTCTTGCGAATCTTACTGTTGTGGTTCCAGAGGATTCATTTCCCTCTGAATTAGAAGGGATTTTTGTGCTTGCTTTAAGGACCTTGCACCCTAGTATCAAGCCAAATATACGATAGTCTTCATTCTCAGAAAAATGAGATGGTTTAAAGGTAACTCTTCATTTTGCTGTCAGTGGAGAACTGGGTTGGTCAGGGCAAGATTTGTTTCACAATTTTCCTGAACACCACAGAATACAGGTAAGTTATTTTAGTAACTGCTAAAAATTAAAATCAGCTCAAGACATTAAAATGTTTTCAAATTTGCCTTGCTATAAACATTGCCAGCTTATGAGCATTGGTTTTGCAACTTTTCATGACAGTAAGTTGAACTGAAAAATGTACTCACCTCTGCCACTCCAGAAAACTCCTCCTCTGTGTGTCTGTTGTGTAAATTAATCTAATGCATGCTGGTGCGCACAACATAAAGACAGGTGTCTTTTTATCAAAAACGTCTTCCTAGTACCACTTGTCTTCAGTATAAATTCATGTACTACCCGCGGAAGCAACTCAGTAGACCTGCTAGACGTCCTGGACTGACACAGTCGGTTGGACTGTGCTTTCGGTCCAGGCGGGTTGGTTGGCTGTCAGAGTTGCGAATGTTGTACCAGATGTTTATCAACTTGTGCTTAAACTGGAGACCTGCTGAGGGCACATTTCCCCCTGGAGTTCCTGGGTCCCAGAGAAGCGAAGACAATGTCACATACAGGGCTGCTGGCTGTCCACGTTTAGGTCCAGAATTTAAGATTGCAGCTAGTTAGGGCAAGAAATGTGCCTGAGCTAGTGTGTCGAGTACAAGCAGCTTCTGCTGCCTCCAGATGCTGTTACGACTGTTTTCTTGATAAATTTTACTCAGATACTTGGTAAGACGATGGGGACCAGTCATAGGGCAGTGTAGTGTGAACTACTCTGCAAACAGCCTCAGCAGAGGTAAGGCGTAGTGATCAGCTCATTTCCGTCCGACCCTCTTGAAACCTTTTTATATAAAATCCCACAGGATTTTTAAGAGTATTTTCTCACTAAGGTTACGCAGTGCTGAAGCTGGGTGCCCTGACTATGGAGAAACCCTTGTTAGGTATAGTAGGGAAGGAAAAAAGGGCTTTATTTGGCAGATGCCATAGAAAGAGTGCTTAGATGTCTCCCTGTTTTTCCTTCTTACTTACTGCCAGGAAGTGTCCAGAGGAGAGGATCTAAGAACTCCCAAACTGCAAGCAAACACCATTACACTGAACTTGCTTAGAAGAAGTCTTTTTGCATAGGATATGGAGGAAGCATAGTCTTAAAATCCCATTCCTGTGCACTTGAGCTATGGCAGAGCTTTACCAGAGGAATGCTTTCACGCTGTGGGCAAGAATCTGTTTTGCTTCTGCATCATCTTTTTTAGCCAAAACTGGAGGTTCCTATTAATGCCCGTCTCCCAGATATTATTATTTTTTTTAATTTCACCCAGTTTATTTGTGTCGTTCTGTTGGACAGGGTTTGTCTGGAGGATTTTCCTGTGGTTGATGATTCTCAGCACATGCTGATGTCTGAATGGACTTTATCATCAGAGTCAGTTAGGAGGACTGAGTGGTCTTAGCTAGCAGGCAAACTGGACATCAGCTATGTCTCTTAACAGAGTCAGGACTTGCTTAATACTCCTGCAATCTTACCGGATTTGATCTCAAGCATTAGCAATACTAGAACGACCGAGAGACATAACGCACCATCAGAAAGAGATTAAAGCCAGCCTGGGGCTTGTATTTGAGATCAACTTCAGAAAAGCCAAAAGGCAGCTTTGTGTTTTGGGAGGGGTTTTTAATGGTGTTTCGCAAAAGCAGCAAAACAGCCTGAATGCAACTCATTAACCAACGCTGAGCTCAGTTAATATACTGACTTCTCAGTTCGCCTGCTGAGCCACAGCTTGATTTTTGTTGTTCTTTTTCCAACTGTAAGGGCCCGACTCCAACACCTACGTGAATGAGATAAGTCTTCAGGTTCCGAGCCAGTCTGAATTACGACAGAAACTGTCTTCACTGTCATCAACCTGTACCGATTCTGCCAGCCAAGATGCAAGTGAAGGAGAGTCTCCAGTTATTCAGTCTGACGAAGAGGAAGTTCAAGTGGACACTGCTCTTGCTGCCGTAACTGAAAGAAAGGGTGCTTCAGATGTTAGTGATGAAAGTGACTCTCAAACTATTTGAATCTTAAAACCATATCCTTTAAGAATGACTTCTGAATGAATGAACACGTGAATGAAGAGCTTGCCTGTGTAACAATTTGCTAACCCAGCGTAACAGCCAGACGTTTTTACTTAGTAATACCGCCTTTTTACAAAATTGCCAGTCATGTGGAGGTTGGTTTTTAAAAAAAAAAAAAAAAAAAAAAAAAAAAAAAAAAAAAAAAAAAAAAAAAAAAAAAAAAAAAAAAAAAAAAAAAAAAAAAAAAAAAAAAAAAAAAAAAAAAAAAAAAAAAAAAAAAAAAAAAAAATGCCTAAAGCACACACACTTTAACAGCAGACTCGGGGCCCAGGGGAGCAGTAAAACTGTTGTATATACTATGTATAAGAGAATTAAAGGGGAAAGATACAAGTTACTTTGACCACTAACCTTTAAATGGCTGATTGGAAATACTTAGACTTGATGTGTAATACTGAACCCAAATTGTTCCTTGCATGTTTTCAGCTGCTGCAACTGAAGGTTTAGGATCCAAACCAAAAAGAAAAGTTATTTTCTACTCTCTACTACCGACTGTCTGCCTACTGCCTTTGTCTACTAATGCAGCAGTGTCTACTCTCACACTTCTTATTCAGGACCAACAGTCATAGGTGTTAAGGAAAAAGAAAGAAACTGAAAAGGAGGAGAGACGCGTATTGAAATGTTAGACTCCTCGTGGAGCAGGTATCTTAGCATTGTATAAACTCACTCCTCTTGCGAGATAAAATAAAGTATTTCTATCCCAACCATGTCTTTTACTTGATTACCCAAATACTTTATCCATGACAGTGAACAGAGGAGACTAATTCAGAAAAAAAATGGTTATTTATAAGGGGCACCAGTGTAATTTACCTTTCCATAGTAGCATCTGTTTGGCTACACTGATGCAAGCCAGCAATGTAAGGGAAATAAACCTGAATGAACTATAAATTAAGTAAGTGCGTACATTTTAAAAACCTTAGGACCTATAGTCGTCATCATCTTACTGCCATTTTTTTCTGCAGTCATTTTTCTCTCCTAACTTGAGGTCTGAACATGTCTAACACCTGTTTCTTGTCAAGTCTCACGCTCTATTTGCAGGGATCTGCTCTCCTTTGGGAAGGCTCCTGGCTTCTGCTCTTCATGCACGGAGGGAAGGAAGGTAATCAGAATCAGCGTAAGTAAAAGGATGAGCTGCCACGTAGATCCCTTCCAAAGACCTGCCCTGACAAAGCTAATGGTTGGGAATGAGGCATCTCCTGCTGCTCGCCAGCTGGGAAGTGGCCGGTTTCCTTAAGGATTCACTCTACCTCCTGTTACCTGACAAAGTGTTTCCTGACCCCTCTCTGGGAAACGAAAGCTAGAAGCTCGCTACCTACAATTAGATATCTACTATTTAACAAGGCATCTGTTGAGAAAGAAATTTGTCTTGAAGGAGCTTACTTTACTCACTCACTTTCCAGAAGACAGACAAAATGTCCAAAAAAGTTTTGTTTTTTTTATTAAACCTCGTAGTACAAACCTGGAAAGTAAACAAAAAACTGGCAATAAACAACATGAAGTCTTTCCTTACAAGGAAAGAGAGCAGAGCAGCGCTAATAAATTAAATGTCAAACTGTAAGCCATAGTCAGAAGTTTACTGTCAAGAGGGAAAAGTACACAGCAAGGCCATAAAAACCAGACAACCACATTTGAAAACACTTGACTCTGTTTATGTTATTGTTAAATATTCCAAAACAGTTCAGTCTTCTGCAACAACAACCAACAAATTGTATTATAGGACTTTCCTGACAGTCACCACTGGCAAGCTCAGTGCAATATGGGTAGCTACGGTATTGTTGAATTCAATTACGAAACAAAACAGTTTGTGAAAACATTTTCCCTTTTTTATTCCACACATACTGTACACACAACCAGAAAAGGGCAACAGCTACTCCATTATTATTTTTTGTTGTTGTTCAGTGATGTAAGCAGCACTTATAAATGTTACAAGAAAAACCCTGTAAGCATCCAATCCAACCGATGAAGAAAGTGAAACGTAAGGCTTTTCTTCATCTTGTCTCTTCGCCATCCCTCCCCCCACCCCAAGAAAAGGCTCAAGTATTTAAAAAAATTTACAGGCATATGTACAAAAGGTGTGATTTTTTTTTTTGTTACAACATGAAGAGAAAAAATAGACAAGATGAAAGCAAATGCATCTTCACATTCAAAAGAAATATGCAGACCTGCTAGTGGCTCTAAACGTGATCATATAATGAAAGAAATTCAAAACAAAAATTAATGCTTGACTGTGTAAAGGTGTGAAAAACAGCAGTGGAATGGAAATGGAATGTTAGAAAGATTGCACGTCTATGACAAAAGAAGCACTTATGGCTTCAATCACTTTTTTTTCTTTTTTTTTTTTTTTTAAAGGATGCTATTGAAGGGTTTTTGATAAAGTAGCCAACAGCACCAAAAAATAACAGAATGGATTTCCTAATGAAATCAGGCACAGTTTTCCCTCACGTGACTCCTCAAGGCAGGCAGTCTTTTTTCCTCCTTTTTTTTTTTTTTTTTTTTAAAGTTTTTATTTTTCCCCCTCAAAACAGATGCATAGTGATGTGCTGGTAAAAGAGAACATACTCCAAATCTCCTCCTTTTGCCTACAGTTAGGAAACAAAGCCCATCTCCACCTGCCATAACCTCCCAAAGAAAGTGTGTATTCTCCAATTTAAAAAATTACAAAACTCATCTTGCCGTGACAGAATAAAAGACAGCCAAAGTAAAGCAATTTCTTTCAAGTTTTTGTCTCCTATCCCTTTTCTCTCTAGAAAAATCTGCTCACATGACTGGAGAACAAATTAGAAAACACATCAAACTTTAACCTATTCAAAAAATGGGTTAAAAGCCTTTTTTCAGTTACCAAAAAGGCTTTTTATTTTTTCAGCCATAGGGACAATACAAATTAATATTTTATCAGCCCCTTGCCGGTTTTAAAACAGTGATTGTCTCCTATCCCTTTTCTCTCTAGAAAAATCTGCTCACATGACTGGAGAACAAATTAGAAAACACATCAAACTTTAACCTATTCAAAAAATGGGTTAAAAGCCTTTTTTCAGTTACCAAAAAGGCTTTTTATTTTTTCAGCCATAGGGACAATACAAATTAATATTTTATCAGCCCCTTGCCGGTTTTAAAACAGTGAACATACGGCAGTTTAAAAAAATCAGACTGCTGTATCTATCTATTCTAAGTACAAAAAAAAATTCAACAGTTTAATGCTAAAACAAAATTAGTTCTCTAAAACCAGAAGAAAATCTTCTTTAGAGCTAGTGCAAAGACAGCTTGTATTCTACAGCAAGTACTCCAAACTATGGTATAATAATTACAAAAAATATATATAAATTGACAAAATGAGAGTGTTGGCATCTTCAGGATTAACTTGAAGCACTTTTGGATGAACTGGAGGATGAAAGCCTAGATGATGGCACGTCAACTGTAGCTCTCTTACGAGGTCCTCTTTTTGGTGTAGGCTTGCTGATACAGTTCTCAATGCTGCCGTTTTTACCAGATACTTTTCCACAGATTTGATTGACTAGACTGATTATTTGTTCCTGTTCAGGAAGTGAGAAAAACAAAACACAAATTAGCATCTGCTCTTTCTCCAGTCACTTCTGGTGGACGGAGATGTAGTGCTGCCTTTTTGACTGAAAGCACTTAACTGGGGGGGGGGGGGGGGGGGGGGGGGGGGGGGGGGGGGGGCGGATCTATACATTCACAAACTATGCAGAAGCTTGGCTCACATACTACTTATTCACAACCAGGAGTTTTGTACAAGGTACTGTGTAGTCATCCAAATACTGCCCTTGCTGAAGCTTCCCCCCTCCAAACTTTGAGACGGTAATCAGCAGAACTAGAAACATCTGAGCGCTGGACACTAAGCAAGAGTAAAGAAGCCGGGCTGCAAGGTTACTTCACTAGGGTCCAAAATGTTCTTCAGATACGATTTAAAACCTGCTGCTGAACAGAGTTATAAATGCCATAAATTTAAATCCACAGTAACATTGCTTATAATGTACTATTTACTAAAAATTTCTTTAAAATTTAAGAAGATTCCACTTCTTCCTTGTGACACTGCTGTCATTGGTTACGGGATGCTACGTCCATTTAATGCTTTTTAGGATCTCTGGGTGTCCAGGTGCTCTGAGCCCACGCATAGAGAAAGCCGGCTTGCTGCCACGCAGAAAAAGGGCTACAGGTCCATGGCACTATGAGGAGCAAGAGACAGGAGCCCCTGAACTGCAAATCAAAGTGTCTTGGCTACAACGCCACTCCTAATTCCATTACATTCAGGGATTTGATGAAGTTGGGGGGGGGAGATTTTTCTGAACTGGCTGTCCCATCCTCCTAAGAATGTTGAGAAGCTATTTTTGTGCAAAGTTGAAACAGCCTCTTAATTAAGTCTACCTAACAGTTAAATAGATTTAACAAATGGCATTTGATGTGCAGGTTCTCTCTCTCCCCATTCACAGCCCTCAAAAAAAATTCTGTAATAAGAACCAGGCGTGCAGTTAGTATCTTTCAGAAATGTAGAAACTTTGTGACAGTTTTTTACATTTGAAAAAAAATCATCATCATCATCATTATCCAGTACTGAAGGAGAGGTTTTTCTTGCCTTTCCCAACGCAGCCTAAAATAGCTGCTTTGTAATTATAAAACCTAGCAAAAATCGTTATCGTATGTGATTCTGCTGGAAAGAGTGGCTTTGAAAACCACAATAGAATTAACAGATCTGTGAAAACACAGGATGTCAGGGACTGAATAATCTCAAGAATAAGAGAAATACATTAAAATTTCTGAATAACTTCCTGAAACTCTTTGGTGTTTATTGCATTACAAAGGCAGTTTCACTGTTGTCTGGGCTTCTTAGGTTGTACTTGTTTCTATCTATAGTACCTGATACCAGAACAGGGTCTACAATTAAAAATGAACAAAGCTGCAAGGGCACGATCTGCCCCAGATTACTTTGACTTTTTGGGTTTTTTCCCCATACCTCTATGCGCATACATCAGAAACTGCTGAGAAGCCCGTTGCAAAAAGCTTCTTGTACCAGCACTGATCTCCAAGAGCTGATTTTGCAATTTCTCCTACTGCTTCACTATCCACAGCTCAGGCTAATAGTAAAATGCTCCCCCGCTCTCTCTCTATTCCCCCCCATCCCCTCACACACACTGGCTGCCCACAAATGGAGCTAACTAGACAGGTAAAGAGACATTACTTGACTGTACTGCGTGTAGCATTAGCCCAGAACCCAGGCACAGTCCTAAATCACCAACTTGAGTTCTGTGATTATTCATCGTCACATTGAGCCATTCAGCCATTACTGGACCTCTCATCTACCAAGTGCTCTACAAGTTTGCCTTAACGAAGGTTCAGGCTGGACTGGAGTAAGTCAGCGTGAACTTTCAGTTACCAAGAGAGAGAAGTTATCCTAAAGCACAGAAGTTATCATAAATTAACCGGTCAAAGCATAGGCACACTTTCAACAGCATCCCGAAGCATTAAATGGCTTCTCTGTTCTGTAACACATAGTCATGCAGTTTATGCTTCAGGTTATACATCTTCATAATCATGTTTCCCTCTATTTCTTTTACTTAATAAATAAAATAAATAATGCTCATAATAAATCTCCTTCTTCCCACACCAAAAAAACCCCAGAAACCAAACAGCAAAGCACAGTCTCCTGAGGTCTCGGTAGGACAAAGGCAGAGCTAAGTCTAGTCCCAAGTTTTCAGTATCAAAGCTCACCAGCATCACAAAGCTGTATCATACAGACCTCATCATAACGGTACATCATTTTCAGTCCCCGACAAGACTTCTGTTTTTCCACATGCCGCAGGGCACACTCCAAGCAGAAGACAACATTTTCATTCTCCTGTACAACCTATAAAAATGCAGAAGCGGGGGGGGGAGAAGTGCAGTAAGCTCTAAATTGTAGCCATGTTACACACACAGTATTTTGCATTGCAATGTGTGAATTATTAAACCTGTATTTTACTACAAGTTAGTGGAAGGAGGCATAAACAAGAAGCATTACACATTGTGAAATGATTCGGCATGTGTAAGAAGAAGAAAGTACATATCCCTTTTTGAGTGCTAATGTTGGCAAATACATACAATTTAAAAAAACCCCACCAATAGCAATGAAGGCCAAATCCAAATAATGATATATGCATAAAACTTTATTGGTATCTAGTATGTAACCTAAAGATTTCCTGAGAGCAACTGTTTCCCATTGTGGGAATGGGAATCCCCAAATGCCGTCTTGAATAAGGATAAAATCAGAAGCTTAGCCACATGATTCCTCAGCTGCTGTCTCATTCAGCAGAGGTCACATTTGCTCAGCGGGCTACCTGCCAAGCCTACGCATTCAGCTTGGAATTTGACAACCAAGTTGATTTTTTGTCCCTTATTACTGTTAAGAGTGACAAGGAAAAATCCTTCCCTCGATTACACTTACTCCAGAGCAAACGGACCAGAATTAAGAGGTTTTGGCTGGTTAGTTTTTTAAACAAACTCATTTTGAATTTACTTCAAACTAGTGCTGCTTAAACATGTCTTAGCTGCTCAGCAGTCTTAAGACATGTATAAACTGAGTATATTCTATCCTAGGGAGGGAAACAGCTACATCTTGTTATTTAACAGTTCCATTGTATTGCCATCAAAAGCCTAACATTTATAACCAAAAAAGCCCAAAAGATGACAGAAAAAAGGACTGAATGTGGACTCACACATACTGTATTATGTTTATTTAAATATCTGATCTTGGAATTAGGTGGTACATAGGGTTGTGGGAGGGGCTTTTGGTATACTTAATGAAATTGCTGTATTTCTAGGTGTTCTGCGTAGAGCTAAAAACCTGAAGGTGTCACCACAGTGATTAGCACACCTTCAAAAGCCAGTAGGCAGTTACTTCTGAAAAGAGAAAGTTTATGGGCATGACTTCTGTTTTTGAACAGGCAGGTTGGCAAACAGCATCTTAGCTTGATAGATAGGATACATCTACCCTGCAATTTGGCTTGCACGGAAATTGTCGCAGCACAGGCGGGAGCTGCATGCCTGGGACTTGGGGCATGTATTTTGAGTCGCTAGCTCATCCCGAGAACTGTTCTGCCATGACTCACTACTACTGGCAACCTGCAGGGATCTTTGTTACCCCTCCCAATGCAATGCAGACATGCTCATGGGTGTCCGAGCGCGGCTGAGTGACTAGTTTATCCCTTCCTTACCGGGGGAGGGAAGCTAGCTGACACTAACCGTTGTCTTCTGTCATCACCACTGCCCAAGGCCATAAATGTTCTGACACAAACCAAATCAACATCTCTGTGTCTTGCGTGGAGTGCATGAGATGACTCTAGTCATGTGCTGTCTCTCAAATGCTTATAGTCCATTACAGTACGTTAGAACAGGGGGGACAGTACCCCAGCGGTGGCAAAGGATTTTACTCACCATGGAAAGATAGCACAGGTGCTGACAAATCTGACATCTCCTCTCTGACGTTTCTAACTGCAACCACTTTCGAGGCTTTTTCTTTCCATCCATCCCCGTGCTGCTGCTGTCGTGGCTGCCATAGCGCGCTGAAGAATGGAGACCTGCCTCATAAAGCTGCCGCCGCTGCCTCAGCTCCGTGTCCCTGTGAACGTTTTAATGCAATTAGACATTGGCATCGCCTCATACCACCACAAAGCCATGTATAATCACCCTTTTACCACGATCATCACTGAAACCTTAGCTCCACACAGCAAAGCCCTGAGTGTTGTTGGAGGTTGGTGCCATTCCCTACACATGGTGAGAGACAGCCAGCACCACAGAAACGCTGCCTAATTGCAAAAGCTATCTCCGGATTTTAACAGCGACCACTGTATCAAGCCAGTGGTTCTCAAACTGCTCCACAGAGAACTGGGGATTGCTGAGTACTTCCTGGAGGTCGATGGTTGCTCGGGGCCATGTGGAGAGTCGGGAGATGTGGCTAACATGACTGTCATTCCTGAAGTTGCCAAAAGCCACCTTGAGGAGGAGGAGCCGTTGCTGTCAGGAGTAACATAGCCACCTTCATCAGGAGGCAGAGATGAACCAAGGACCTGCTGCCGTGAGGTGCTTCAGGCAGGAAAGGGGGAGCAGGGCAAGTGATTGTGCCAAAAGACGAAGATCTTGCTGTACACCCAGGGGAAAAAGAAGGAGATGTCAATTAAGAGCAAAGACTAAGCCCTCTAGCCGCCCTTCACCCACGGCATCCGCAAGGTGGACAATACTTCCTATGCTGAACTATACAGCATTAGGAGAGCAGGTCGAGTTGGAGCCGAGTGGAAGACGGCAAGTGTGGAGCGAGCTGAGCAGATGGAAGGGGAGAATAAAAAAGCTCACCACCAGGCACAGCTGAAGATGGGTGGAGAGCCAAGCTAAGCAAATGGCATGGGCAAACTGAGCAACCAAGGCAGATCAGGAGAGGAGGCAGCAAAAGACACAGAACAAACAAGCAAAACAAAACAAAGGAAAAAAAATATGGTACAGTGTTCCACTTTGGTTGGGTTTTTCAGGTTTTGTTGTTTGGGATTTTGTTTTACATAAGCAGCCACAGGAAGGACCGATATCCTCCAGAGAATTCCAACCTAAGCATAAGAACAAGTTTGAGAACCACTCTGATAGAGGTCGATGTGATGGTCTAACAGCAAGCACCAACATTTCTGTTTCACCTTTCGCACTTGCAGACTTTTCCTCTTCAAGGAAAAAAAAAAAAAAATGCACTTGGAAGTGATTATTCCCACAGGGGAACCAGCTGCAGGTAAAGCAGTCAGCACACCTCTTTGTATTTCTTTCTGAACACTAAAACAACACATGGGCTGTTTTCCCCTTCAATATGTCACTGGAAATTTTCCAAATGAACATGCTAGTTAGTTAAATACAGTTTGTAGATTCCATTCATCAAAACTTTCTTGACATCTCGAGTACCAGTTGTCACAAACTTGAAAGATAGGTAGCAACTACATGGTAGGGAACAAAAGAGAAGATCATTACACAGGAAGCCAGGCAACATTATATTTTCTTTTATTACCTGTCTTAAGAGAAACCCTAAACATGTTTCCTTAATACCGGAGAGAAAAAGGAGTGTGAAGTTTTTTTTCTTTAAAACGTTCAAGTTCTAATGCAAGATGCGTTAGCACCCATGCATAAGCTGCTCGCTTATTCAGTGGTTTAAATCAAGACAACTTTCCGTATACAAAGTACCTTCTACAACCGTAGTATAACAATCTTGCTGCTGAAGAGAAGGGTTCCCGGTGCAAAACCCATTACAGGCATGGACTGACAGTGGCTACTGCTGCCAAGAGGTTGAAAAAGCAAAGAAAGGTATTTAACCACTTGGCACCACATAGCTCACCTAATGCATCAGGAAATCTTGACTCTCAGCATCAAGGATCAACAAAATAGAAACCCAAGGCAAACTGTAGTTTTAATTCTTTGATGGTGCCCAAAGTAGGGAAAACTTAGAGTAAGACATCCTAACCATGGGCACCCTCACATCAGATACAGCCAAGGAAACTGCTTCTTCCACATGTGGCTGTCTTCAAGTATGTTTGCTGGGCTTTTGCTTGGTTAAGTAGGTGAGACATGCGTCTGAAATGGTTACTTACGTCATCCACCTCTGGAGTCTGTCAATGAAAACAAAATAGGTACAACAGGCCCCCAATTCGTTACCTGAGCTCTCCAAGAAGTGATGATATCGTACTCAGAGTCGGTCCATTTTCCTTTTTTGCTTCTGCTGTTGCAATCTGATAAAGCAACTTTTCCATTGAAAATGGCTTGGCTATACGTCGTCTCTTCATTTCCTGGGACAGAAATTGCCAAATTAGTTCTTAAGCAAATTTCAAAATAAAAAGTTATGAAGAATGAATTCAATGTAGCAAAAAGTAGCCTTTTAAAACAACCAAAAGTAAGAGCTTTCTCCAGTCCAAATTAAACAAATTATTTATGTTCCTAACTTACATCCAGCACGTAACTTCACAATGAAATGAACGCTGATTATAAATCAGTCCTTTCAGGGGAAAGCCAGGTGCCCAAGCGCTTCGCTGAATTGGGTCTTCCTGTTGAAAGGACTATGAAACAAGGTTTTCTGCACGTGCTTCAGGTGAACCAATGCCACAGAAAAAAAACCTCTAAAACCTAAACCAAATGCATGCTACCAGACAGTCACAATCAACTGCTTTCTCAGAGAATACCCTAGTGACTATCATATCTAAGTTTGGTTTTGTTCCAAGTCACCAGTAGAGAGCAGAAAAGTACCTGCAATGCATGATGGCGCGTATGCTAAGAAATCGATCTGTATGCTATCTTTTCTTCGTATGTTTTACTGTGAAATTTAATGCAGAGAAAAGGTAGGCAAAGTCTGCATATACAAAGAGAATGAAGCAAAATGCAAATACTCCCCTATCATATCTAGGTTTGGTTTTGTTCCAAGTCACCAGTAGAGAGCAGAAAAGTACCTGCAATGCATGATGGCGCGTATGCTAAGAAATCGATCTGTATGCTATCTTTTCTTCGTATGTTTTACTGTGAAATTTAATGCAGAGAAAAGGTAGGCAAAGTCTGCATATACAAAGAGAATGAAGCAAAATGCAAATACTCCACCACATTTCGGGTATACCCCTTTTTCAAAAAAGAAAATTAAACTTCGTCAGTGGAAAAGACAAGGACAGGAGAGATGTCAAGAAAATGAGAAAAATAAAAAGAAGGATGCCCAGGCATAGATTAGCTTGCAGTCCACTGAAGTGGAGGAATCAACAAACACCTCAAAATTCTCTCTCTAAAAATTCATTTTTTCCTATGGAGGCCAAGAGGAGCAACCCAATCACTTAAGCTCAGTAATACACTATTGGCACTCTCAGCCATCCAGCAAGATCTAGTCTTCTGACCTGCTTGAAGCCCAGGACTGCTGTTATTTTGTATCTTTTAAAACATCAAAAAGACAACAACTAGCAAAACAGGTAGATGTCAGGGAAAAAAGCTAACAGGCAAAAGAGGGGGTTTCAGTTCTGCTCAGTTTTGCCTGTTATCGGTTCCTCTCTGTGTAAGCTTTTAAAGCTATGTCCTTCATTCCTGTCAATACAAACTGACTGATTTTGGTAGCTTAAACCCTTTCGATAATTCCCATGTAGGCAAATTCCTTCATTTACTGCACAGCCGAGAAAGGTCTAGAGTTTTCCCAGTGTCTGAAGAGGTCTGTTTTGTTTTATATAGAGTCAGACAGTTTTCAAATGACGCTAGCACTGGAGTGTAATGTGAAGGTGCCATTTTGGTTAGGAGTTAAGCCCACCAAATACCTAACTCAGCACAAACAAAAATGAAGATTCATCTTTAACCTTAATTTTTTTCACCCTGTTTTGTAACCCTAATTACATGCTCTTGGTATTTCTTTTATCAGAACCAATATATCATAAAATTAATCATTTTTAATAGCACCGATTGCATGTATTGAAGTGATAACTTTTTTTTTATATATATATATATAAAAAAAAAAAATATAAAATGGATTAGTAACCTTTGCTGACCAGATAGCATTCAAAAGAGGGTCACAGGTAAGAAAAGCGTTCTTCAGAAGGTTCTGCTAGAGCCTGCCTGGGCTCAGAACAGCTGCACTTTTAGGAGTGGGATGAGAAGTTTTGTTGCACGTTAGATTTGCTTTGCACGTTGTCCAAGGCTGCATAAGAACAGCCACTCCAAGCCAGATCAAAAGCCCGCACAGGCAACACACGCAACCAGGATAAAAGGCCACAGTGGGTGGCTAGAGAAAAAAGCGAGGTACGCTCCTGCTGGCTGGCAGCTCAGTGACCTCCTGAGCCCGAGACGGGTCTGTGCTGCGTTTAAGCACAACTCACTGGATCTGTGCATTTATCTGAATTTCTGAATCCATGTACATTTTTCTCTTCAATACAGTACTGAAATACACAGATAAGTATTTTAAAACAGACTTTTGTTTGCTTTTGACCTACTCCCTAATCATTTCTTTTAATGACACGTTTTTCAATGTTATGAGAGACAGTGAACATTCATATTATAATCATCATCACCCTGCCACTTGTGAGCCGATCTTACTATCGTATACATCTCTCGGTCATTAATTTTCCAGGCTGAGTAGTCCTCTTATATTTAATGCAGAGGCTAATTCATACCTTTAATCATTAATCTCTGCTGTACTTTTTCTAGTTCCTCTGTATTCCTTTTGCAATTAGGGACTCAGAACTGCACAAGTATTCAAGCTATGGCCATACCAAGAGCCTACGCAGTGCCATAGCAATGTTTCTGCTTTGTTCTCTAGTCTCTCCTTGCAATTCCTAACATTCAAGATATTTTTTTAAACCTCTCCGGAGCACTTGGCTCGCAGCTCCATAGGAATCCAAAGACCTCTTTTCTCAGTAGCAAGAGCTCGTTCAGAGTCCATCGCTGTGTCTGTCAAATTAGGATTAATTTTTGCTCCCGAGACATTTAAGATTTATCAACCCATTTTCTCACTCAGATCACTCGGTATCATGAAATCTTTCTGTAACACCTCATAGCTTTAAGTTTTGCTGTCATTACCATTAATATCCTCAGTATAAAGGATTTGTTTTGCTATTCACTTCCCTTTCTAGGTTATTTACGGATATGTTGAACTGTACTGGTCTTAGTACAAATTCCTGAGGAACACAGAAAGAGACCTCCCTCCATGATAAAATCTGACCATTTGCTCCCATCCTCTGCTTCTCTTTAAATCAGTTTTTGGTGTGTGAACTTTCCCCCTCAACCCACGGCAGGTTAATTTCTTTAAGAGCCTTTTCTGAGGGACCTCGGCAAAAGTCTCCCAGAAATACAGATTCTGTCAGCTGGATCTTTTTGGCCGTACGTCCTTCCAAAAGTTTCAAGGCCTGGGGGCCATGACCTCGCTGCAAAGGCCATGTTGATTAGCTCAGTCTCATTGTTTTCTACATTTATTTTTTCTTTTGGCCTTTAGCAAGTTGTTCTTCGAAATCTCTTTTTGGTCTGCATTTGTGTGTATTTGCATGCATCTTGCTAGAGTGGTTGTTTTATTTGCATTTTCATCTTCTGGACACAAAAAGGATTTTTTGGTCTCATTTCAAACAGACTCCTTTCTCCTGGTGTTTAGCCATGCAAAGTTTAATGGGGGTTTGCCTTTTGAAATATTTTTTTTGCTAGACAACATGCATGTGTTGTAAGCCTCTAACATGGCATCTTTAAACAATTTCTGTGCTGCATGCAAACACTTAACCCTTCTTTCTGCATTCTCAATTTAACAAGCTTCCTTGGTGTTATGCGAGGCCGTCTTTTGAAATGAAACACCACAGTAGTGGATATTTGCGTTTTACCGCTCTTTCAAGTTTCTTAATCTCTGCTCACCATCACAGCGCAGCTGTTTGATAGGCTCCACCTATTGCTGAGAAGTGAGACGACAGTTTCTTCTTGTGTGGATTTCCTGACTAGCTGCTCCCTGAAGCCGTTTCGGTTCTGGCATCACACACCAACACAACCACTATCCTAGCTAGGGGGAGGAGACCAGCATTGCCCATTATCATCATATGTCCTGTCCTCGCAGCTTCTCTCATCTCTTTTAGTGTAACACAGGCTACGTCTACACACCATCCAGTATGGCGAAGCAGGAGTAGATGTGCAGTGCGATACAGTTGATGCTGAGGACCCACAGGACGTGTGCGTGTAAAGCCGACGGCTTTACTTCAGAGCAGTCCAGCCTGGTCCTGTGGCCACACCACCACCAGTGTTTGGAGAACATCAGGTGCACTTCTGGAGCGCCTCTTCCCATTTGGTTTCGTCTCAAAGCAACCCAGTCTGCTTAGCCTAAGACAGCTCTGTGATAAGAACCAAGGAATGGTAACTGTGCGGCATTTTAAAGGCACGTTCCTCACCCAAATTAAAACTTGGGGGGGGGGATACATATAAAGCCCCTGCCAGCATCTTGGCTGGACAGTCAGGAGCACAGTGCTAATACCATGCTTTTCCTCTTTAGGACAGGAAAATCAGTGCACAGGGATTCTGTCACTGGTGACAGTTAAACCTGGCTTATTTGATTGTAAGCTCTTTTCTGTGTGCAGCAACACTGCTCCAACTGGATGACTAACTCCATCTTTCCTATGTACTTCTTCCTCTTGTATTACGGTACCGGCTGAGTCTCTTCTTTCCACCAAGTTTCCGGTTGGCCCTATACCAGCAAAGCCCTCCTTTAAAACCAGACATCCCTTCTTATTTCCAAACCTCTAGACCAGAGTGCATTCATTTAGTCCAATATTCAGTTCTCCTGTTTCCTAAATGAGTTTTACTGACTTTGCCCAATGCCTTATTTGAGGATACGGAGTTACCCCTTTGCCATTCCAAACACAAACTCTTCCACCACACATGTAAACCTTCTCCTCATCCTTAGTTTAAAATTTCAAGAGCTCTTAGGGTGTTTTCCAAAAGCCAGCAACCTGGTTCCACGTGTGGTTTAGGTGAAACCAGGCTTTATACAAACAAACGCCTTTATTCCAACAATTATCCCCACTCCTTATAAACTGAAATCAATACAATTTCAGATGCAGAATTTCATTTTTCCATATATTAAAGGAGATTGAGCAGTTATTCAATACATGAAATGAAACAACATTGTTTAGTAATATAAAGAGAGTCACTATAAAAAAATCAGGTCACAGTATCACAGAATGAAAACAAAATTAATGTATCAAACAGCTGAAAACTGTCAATATTGCTGTTGAGAACGGACAGACAGGAAGGTACAGTTGTTTGTCAGAGAGTTCATTAACAGTCCAAAAGGGGAAATCTTGCTCCTTACACAGAACTTCTCACAACCTCTGAAAAGCACAATCCCAGCCAGCCTTTGAAAATGGCAAAGTGCCTTGTCAAAGTGAAGGAACCAAGGAAGACTTTCCAAAATTTAAGGGAGTTAAGAACATAGGATAGTTTGAGGAAAGAAGAGGGGGAAGGGAAAAAAAGAAGGAAAATAACACTGCAGTAGGTGTTTCCAGAGTTATTTTGATATAAACGCATATCTGTGGTTCTTGTAAAGTTTGTGAGAGCTGTGACTTCACTTTCCAAGGTAGGTTATCACAGATTGGAAACTGTTGGATTTTCAGTCAGCTTATATTTACCCAGTGCAAAGCTCTTAAAAATTAATCAAAAGAAACTGTTCTTCAGAATTTGAGGCACCAAGAAGAGCTTTTTAATTGCTGCATAGTGATTTCTGTCTCTTACAGGAGTGGCATTTTCACAATATTGAACAAGTGTTCAGTAGAGCAATAAATACAGCATATGGAGTTAATATAATTGTGTACCTTCAGACAGAAAAGGTTAGCTCAGGAATCTTACTCCTTACCTACATATATATACAATTCTCACCTTCCCCCAAAATAAATCTGTAATAAAATAACCTTTTATTTCAAACTGAGTTAATATACAGTTAGTATAACCAGGCTGGAAGAATTCCATTAACCCTAAAGAACCAAAACCTAACTGTGGACGTACTACATTTAATTACTTACTAACCACTTGGTCTGAAGTTGTACATGGTAATTTACTAGTGGCTTAGCTATAAAACATTACCAAAATAGCATCTGTAACCCATAGTGTATTTGAGGAGGTTGGGAACACAATTAGTGACATATATTCTTTGCCCAAGAACAGAGAACTGTAGCCAAAATCATGATGACTAGGCAATTCACCTGTTTGTTTCTGCAGACAATCTTCCTCAGTTGTGTGAAAAGGGAATGGGAAGTTTGTTTTATTTACAGCTTAGTATCATATGGGCTGGTCAGTGAACCTAAGGATTTTCAAGTCGATTAAAATTGAAATTGCCCTGATCAACAGCTTTTCCTGAATGAAGGGGCAGAGAAAGACAAGCAATACAGCTGCGAGTATTAATTGACTCTGCCTATCATAGGAGCTAACAAGCACAGTTATTCAGATATTTGCACCTGAGATTCTAATGGTTCTAGAAAACATCACTTAAAAAAAATTAGTAAGCATAATACAATATATTATCATTAGCTCTGAAGGGATTTTTGAAAAGCTTCCTCACAAACTGGTCTGCAGGCAGAACAATCTTCTGAATTTTTCAAATATACAGAAGTTTTTAGCTATCAGTTATTCTTCTGTTGCTTTTCTGAAAACACTGCATCATCCTATGCCTTGCAGAACTTTTTTCCTTTTTTTATTTAATAGTCCACAAAAATAGACGTACTTGTACTAGTCTCACAATACTGGAATGTCTGGTTTGCTGTCGGTTTAGATGGCAGGGCCGTGAATCCACTTTAACTCCTTTTCTCAACTTACCTTGGCTGTTTTAAACCCCATACTTGTCCACTGGGTGGTAGCAAAGTGCACTGTTTCAGAAACACTATGGCCACAGCTCACTGTAGACACAAAGGATCCAGGAAAACAGACAACAAACTGCCCGCTCTGCTGTACAGTACGGTGCACCCTGATCCCCTCCTTACACAAGATTTCTGGGGAGATCTAGAAAGACATAAAAGCAAAACAAAAGAGAAAAAAATAAAAAAAAAAATCAGAACTTTCTTCTATGGTTAGATCCCCTTCCTTGCTGGGTACTGCCACATGCTACTTGTTGCGGAGAAAAGCTGTGCTCTGCTAACAGCTCAGCTCTGTTCGCTTTCCCTCTTCCCTTCTGCACATGCTGAAGCTTAGGTGTTTGGAGTGAAAATTACAGAAGTGGCTCTTTTGAAACCAACAGTTTAAACTTTCACTTGCCAAACAATCTCAAACACAAAAGCCTCAAAACAATACTATCTACTACTACAGAAAGTAACGCAGGCCATTCGGTTTTCCATCTAGACCTTTTCAGCCTTGGCATTGAATCCACCTTGCTACTGCACTTCTGTTAGAGATGTTAACATGGACAGCCGAGGGAGTTGTTTTTGTTGTGGGCTCCCAAATTTATACTTAATGCACTAAATGGAAATTGTTATCCACAAAATAAACAAGGGAGCCAAAAATACTTTGAAATCCTTTGAAGTATTAGGCTTCTCATATCCATGATGGCATCATAAAATGTCAATCATGGCAGATTAACTGATTACAAAACACTCCCTTTGTGAGGTTAAATACGTTATGGACAATATTAAAAATGGACATTTATTGCACTGTTACATTTATTTTTATGTCAACATTTTAATATGTGAGCCTTGTTAGAAAAATGCCATGTGGGTAAACAATGCAAGTGGAAAGTAGCCAGATTTTAACAACCACCTCTGCATCACTGTAGTGTAAGACAAAACCAAAATAAATCCCCAAACAACCAGCCTTCTGATTAGCCTTGGGTTCTCAAATGGGAATACCTCTCCCAGTGTTAACCTACCATTACATTACTTTCAAGCATTTCCAGCCCTGGAGTGCCATTGGCTTGCAGCAGGGTATGTACCACATCATCAAGTTTGTTCTCCTCCGCAGCAGGAATGCAATACCTGTTGTTTTGTCAGAGGAAAAGAGAAAGATTTACTGTGGAGTAAATAATGGTGCACAGCTACACAGTAACAGGCAATTCAGACCAGGACATTGATTAAAAGAACGAACTGTGTACACAAAGCAGCCTAAGACCTCTTGCCTTGCTTACTAAACAAATCCCACATCCCTCCTCTCCCTTGCAACAAAAGAAAGACCTAAGAGCAAGCCAAAGCAGCAAGAGAGATTTAAAGCTCTGGGTATATGCCGAGTTGCACATCCTCCTCTCCTTTAGAAGCCAAGGAAGCAGCTGTCCTCTCTATGCTCACTGCCAGCAGTGCTCCCTACACGGAAGTGACAAGAAGTAACGTAGGAGTCTCAGGTCTTAGCTTCACACATCCAGAGAACTGCTATTTTGCTGGATGCAGGGAGGCGATATGGTGACAATTAGCCGCTACTCTTGCTTGCACCCTGCCAGAAGGGTAATGGCTTATATCCACCCAGGAGATACCTGTTCCCAAGATCTGGTACTTGGTACCTGACAACTACGAACCGAGCAGCGCGGCTTGGTGGGAAACACAGTGCAAATCCTGGGATTCCCAAACCTGCCTTGAGTTGCTGTCATGCTGGGCTTTATCTGTGACGTTACTTTATTTGGATTTGTTATGCTCAGGCAAATAAAAAGCATCTCCAGATTTATCATGACTTATCTCAGTTCGCTTTAAGCAATGAGACCTCAATCTGGAGCCCACCCGCGCTCATGCCAGACACACACACACAGATGTTGTTCCAGACTTGGCAACAAGAGAAGAGAAAGAATCTGGAAAGATTTTGGGGAAGAGGTGCTGTTTTCTTGTCATCCATCCAGTCTCTCCACCAATTTCATAAAGCGTTATGCTGGCCTTACAGACGTTGTCAGGATATTTGCTTATAATATGCACTATTAACTACGTATGCGTCATACGTAGTTATATCCTGCTTGATTAGTCTGTAGGAGGCTGTACTTCCTCTGATTTGAACATCTCGTTACTGTTCACTGTACTGATGATGACTTTGATTTGTCTTTGTTAATCTTCAAGCCGAGAACCAGAAGAGATGACAATATCTACTCGTACAGCTAACTGTAGCCACAATAGGGGCTCTAATGAGCTGGTTGCCCAGGTGTACATAGACTGACTCCTCACATATATATTGACAAAGATCAGGACCTTGCTAAGAAATCCTAGGGTTATAGAGAGGTGAAGTGGAAGCACCTCATCTTGACAAGGATCGAGTCCCAACAGCAATTTTAAATGCATGCTGTGTATCAAATACTTTGCAGTACCTGCACTGCTAACAATGACAGCTGCAGAACAGCTGCGTGTGAGTAGAGTATTACTCTAGTTACACTATAATAACAGATTTTAAATGTTGGTGAAAATATTTTAAATTCAAATCCAGAACGTGGCAGAGCCCACTCTTTTCTTTTAGAATCAGAAAATATAGCTGGAACAGCTGAAAGATTCAAGCATGCAGTCCCTCACAAGATGGGCCCAGGAAAAAGCATGGGAAGGATGTGTGAAGAGGATGGGCACCACAGAAGTGCATGTGACTATCTGACTACTGGCAGGACTGAGGCATATACTGCAATTTCACTCACTCGCAATTCTTCATGTACCTATAAAAATGGGAAGTGAGCAGCCAGCAGAGTCTTCCGAGTGTCTTGGGCAGAACAAGATTTTCTTCTTTTAATGGGCACTGAGGATCCTTCCTGAATAAAAAGGTTAGGACACTGACCTCTGCCCTGCATGAAAATTGAGTGCTCCAAGAGATTAGACAGTGACCTGAGCAATCTACAGGTAAAGAAGCACCACTGATTTTAGCACCACAGGGATCTGTCCTTGGAAGAGAAGAATTCTGGATGCTGCATGGACTTGGCAAGACAGAGAAGAGCTTTGGTGCCCAGTTGCCTGCTTTGTTATCACTGAAGCAGCCACTGAACGCAATGCTGTCAGGGCTACTCCAGATATTACACCAGACATAGAGTTATTAAATTAATCTTTTCCTCAGTAAAGTTGGGTACTTTATTGCAATATTAAAAGTTGTAATGAGTTAATAATGCATATTAGCCTGACACTTCAGCCTGGCAGCCTTGCCAAAGAATAGCTTTTACAGACAAAGGAGTTTCGCTTCTTCCTTCTTACGAGTTATTCCTGCTTACCACCCATGTTTCATCAAGGCAATCACTACAAGTACACCTGAAGCTATGTACTTCTATGTATAAGTAAGCCCATCAAGAAAAAGCAAATGGCTTCTTTGGTTTCGTTCTTCTTGGCTTGGAAAAACAGAAGGAGTAGCCTTTCCTAAAACTCTGGCTGCATTCAAGTCTTTTCAATCCCAAAAGGCACATGTTCTGACACGCACAGTATGAAGAGTGGCCTCAGAACTTAATTACAGGATTCCTGAACACGTTCTGTTTGGAATTTACTGTCATTTAAGACTAGATGAATGTCACAGAGAGAAACAGACTCACCTAAGGTTGAGGACAACGTAGCTTGCTTAGCAATTTGTTCTGATAGTATATTATTATAAAAGATTACAGACTCCTGATTCACAGAAGAGGGGGAAGAGCCACGAAATGCCCATGACAGAAAGTGACAGAAACTCCCAGGTCTGCAGCACAATCCAGTGTTTACCTTTACCCCTTGGTATGATCACATACATTTCTCCAACTTAAAATATTTAGAGAGAGGAGCTCCTGCTTTAATGGCTTCCTCCAAGATTCCAAATCCTTTTTTCTGGGCCATGTGCTTTCCCACTGACAGCTGGGTCAGCACCGCTGACATCAGCACCAGCTGAGAAATACGGGAGTTAAAGGTAAGGGCTGAAGTACACACTTTGCAGGTTAATGAAGTGCAGTTGACACTGCCACTGCCACCACGCGGACTCCTGGATACAAAGGGGGTCCTGCAGGCCTTCTCCCATCACACCACATGAGGAGCCAAAGGCTTCCGTAGCTCAGGGTTCAAAAGGGGAACTGCTGAAAGGGAACCAGCTTCTCACCTTTGCAGGGGGGCACCATTTAAACAACTTTTCTTCTCCATTTATTGCATTTTCTCTGATCAAGAAACACAGTTATATTGCTTATCATTCATTGTTCTCACTGGTGATCCTCCTGGGTAGTAACACCAGTATTGCAGGAACCTGGTAGAAAGGCACACGACATGCCAGCAGCACCTGCCTCCTCTAATCCCTCCATCAGCTGTTGTACTTCCATTGCAATCTAACTCCTCATCACCTGTAGTAGTATGTACGCACCAAATTCAGGAAGGATTCACCATGTTCAAAACCATTGATAAGCTGAGTGTTAAGTCTATTTGCATGAAGTGTCTACAAAATATGAAATGTAGCTAGCAGCTAACTGGTGATGTCCACATTGAGACACTAGAATGATGTGTGTAATCATTGTAAAAATTATTATCATATTATAATGAAAAAAATTCACGAGAGAAAATACTAGGGACCTGGTAGATACAGAGTTCAAGATATTTTGTGTAAAATAAGAAAGCGGTGCCTATTTAGTCAGAGCATGGATTCAATCATTTCACAAGTGACAATATGGAGCTAGCTTGACAAGTGTCTCTCTGCCAGCCTAAGGCAAGTCTACCTGGACTAGCTGTCATTTGGCTTCCATGTCATGAAAACTTTCCGTAGATTAAACCCTATGTCAAGCAGAAACAGTTTATTGCTAGATATCTCAGAATAGAGCATGGAAGATAAAGTGAAACTTTTCTTCCAGGAAAGGGTGTTTCATCACTTAAGTTTATACTACATTTTCCCATTAAAGCTGTAATCACACACTCTGGACCTTCTAGGTGAGATTCATTCATGCAAAAGGTACTAAACAAGCTGCTGTCAACACCAGCCTACAGACAGCCACTGTGGTGAATGCGAGGAAAACAAAACAGAGGAATACCTACCAAATGCAATCAGCACCAGTGTGTAAGTAGTCAATGTATGGAAGGTGATTTTGGTCTCGAGACCAGCATGAGGTAGAAAAGACCATGCCAATATTTAGCCAAGGAATTGTCACTCCTAAAAGAAAAAGATTGAAAATGAGTTTTGAGTAACTGCAGTTTCTAATTAAAAGACAGTTTGAGAGGGCATTTCAGCTGAAAATCTTGTGCTACCCGCGAGCTGACCCTTAAGTTTTAAGTCTTCCTACCAGAGTGAATAATTCACAGAGAATAATTTAACAAATTCAGCATTTTCCACTAACAAAATATCTACCCAGCCAGTTACAGTGCCCTTGAACATATTTGTTTTCTAATAGCTGTAAAAAATTTTTATTCTTTAGAGAATTTACAAATAACCATAATTCAAGCTCAATGCCATTGATCAGAGGAGGTTGCTTCATGTTGTCAAGTGTACATGTACTTGTAAACAGGTATCCTGTTTTCCAGTTGGTTTGTTCAGGCTCAGTGCCTGCACAGGAGACTGAATTATGCTTTCAGCTAATGTTTCTACCAGTAAATTGCAATGGCACATATGCAGCTGGAGCACTCGTGACAATTCATTTAGAAAACTTGTGTGCTGCTTTGCCCAGCGCTACAGACTAGGTTTGCAAGCAAGGAAGTTGCTCGGCTCTGTCCTTCATCAGCCTGACACAAAGCAAGAACACTGATGTACTGGCAACAACAGAAAGGGATACTGCAAGTACAACTGGTTCCTCCCAGGTATATGGTCTCAACTATTCATTAATTCTTTATCTGCGCACCTGTCTTCATTCCTTTAAATGCCACCTGCTACATACAACTGTGTGTCTACCTGGTCAGCTGGTGAACAGAGGGGCCAGAAAGAGGGAGAAGACTTTGGTGACTACACCACCACATTTAGAGGACACTTACACCTGCTGGAGACATAGAAAAGAGACTTGCTTACCAGGCACAGCACCAAGATGTCGCAGGATGGATCCTGTATTATTAGGAAGGACTGTGAGGTTCCACCCATGCCTGTTCAAGGGGTGACACACAGAGGCAGACACATGTCAGTGCACGTTCCCAGTGCCAACATCCCCAGTGCCAAGCCGCCCTGCCGGCCTCGCGCCTCTACCTCCACTCAGCACAATGGGGCAGCTGGCATGAGTCGACAAAGTGGGTGGATTTGGTGTTCTTACCTTGAAAATGGTTCAGATTTTCCCACGGGAAAGCCGCTCCCATGGGTGTTGGTATCTACTTTTCCACAATGCACTGCTACATGGCAATCTTTCTGTTCCACTATCCGCCAATATTCTTGCTGTGGTAAGAGAAAGTGGTAATGCATTTTTAATTGACTGAACAAGGTATCTCTCATTAAAATATAAACCCCAGAAATTTACAGGGCTTTCATGACCTCAACGTAATTCAACATAAAACACTGCTTAAAAATAAGAATATAAATACTTAAAAGTAACAATGAATCGGAAAGACAGAGTTTAGATCCTCTTGGCTCCTGTGCTTCAGCACATGACAGATTAAGACTTCTTTCTCTCCCTCAGTTCATCAACACCTTTATTAAAAACGTCGAAAAATTTTAAAAGGAAGAATCAGTACCATGCCTATCTAACCATTTATTTTTCTCCCACGCTAGACAGCCTTGAACTGCTTATGGTAATGCCTGAACGTCAACTATACTGAATCCCCATACTCAATCCCCTGAAATAAAAACTTTTACCACCCCTTGTGTTGGCCTCACCTCTACTTCAGCTACTGTAGGCTCCTTTGTGAAGCACATGTTCATGATGTTTCTTGCTGTTCGGTAGAAGGTTGTTAAAGAAACAGACCTACCCTGTGGAAAAAGAAAATAAAATTAAAAGTGAAAATAAAAAAACGTGCCTCCATTCCCCCTGGCCTCACTCTTTTCCCTACATGCTCAATCCCAGATGATGACAGGGGGAAAGAGGACAATGTCTCCAGAACATGTGGGGGTCTAAAGCTCATTTCTTATCTGAGGGACAATAACTCAAAAGATACAGAAATTTAATCAAATCAAATCACCAAACCAATCATCTAAAAGGCCAACTGAACGTTCACAGAAGGCCGTGTACACTGCTTTCTCCAGCACGATGCTCTGTGTTTGATAAATACAGAAGGTGGACATGGCCCAGGTTTCTATGACAGGAAAAGGACCCAGAAGGCAACCCTACATGCATTTTACGATCAAATCCAATACGTGATCAAAGGACTATGTAGCTACGCTTTTTACATAGAGAAAGAGGTAAAAAAGACAGGAAATTCACAGAAATGATCAGCATCAAACTAGTATTGTATGTGATGGAAGGGGGTCACAAAAAGTAGAGTTTACCAAGATTGCTCTAATCACCTGCTTACAATAACTAGTTATGTTCAATTCAATAAAAGCAGTTCAAATGCAAGGAACCAGGACCTGTTATTACAAGGCTGAGAAAAGTAAAACACAGTAAAATTGCCAAATGAGTGCACTCTTTCTCGGCACTGCTGCAGGAGCTGTACGAGAAGAGGATCTGACTTGGTTTTCTGCTTGAGCTATATACCTAAGTTTCTGGATACCTGCTTTCACACATACCTATAATACCAGATGCTCTGGGAAGCATCCTCTGAAGGCTTTGAAGGCAGAAGCACGAGAGCCCGCTTGCTCCTTTCAGCCCAGACATACTGGTATGCCCAGACAGGGACACCCCTATCGCTTTCTCCGCTCCAGGGCAGAAGAAACATCCTGGGAAGCTGTGAGCCACGAGAGCTGACAGGCGCCACACTAGCTGCTGTGGCCATACTGGTTTGCGAGCGTCGCTGCAGGCAGAGACTAGCATTGCTCTGCAAACGTGAAGTTGAAAATATCTTTGCCCCCTCGCCAGATCTACCGCTCCTTCCTCTAACCCCCATCGTGTCCACTGCTTGCCCATCTGAGCAACCACAGACTTAAAAACTCCACGTAAATGAACATTTTATTACTCGGACTACTACCTTTCTAGTTTTTCAATTATGAAACAGACCTGCCAAACCACCTCAGTCTTTTCTTGTGTTTAATTTATTTAAGAACTATGCCCAAGAGTAAACTAGAAACAACTATACAAGCAGCTTTTCCCCCAGAGGCCAAGTCTATCACTTTGCCATGCTTCTACGGTTGTAACATTGTCACTTTTTTAATTGAATGCAGCATAATTAGCTGTAACAAAAAAGTTCGTGAAATGCCCAGGGCCTGGGGCCCTCTGATTCCCATAAACTGCAGAGTTGGATGCTCTGCGATACAATAAGCAATTTCCTTCATCTTTTAATGCCCTCATGAATCATTTATTGAAGCAGCCTTTTACAACAAAACCTCTTGTAAAATGCAGGGCCCGCACCAACAGTTGTCACACTTGAGCATAGACTTCACCGCTCGCAAACCAACACATGCTCTGCAGAAGCTTCCTCATTTTAATTACTTGCCTCTTCCTCGCATCTTATGCAGAAAAACAAGAATAAGGACTCATCTTCCAAGTTTAACTGTGTGTTTCCATTTTTCAGATATGCAGCAAGCAAGAAAAAAGAAAGTGGAAAAACTGAACAGTTCAGCCCTTTAAAATTGCACATACCCATTTCTTCCTCTATCAAGAATTTGATATTTTTTTAGTCTCCTAAAAGTTGTAACAGAAATTAAATGGTTGAGGGGGTTTTGTTATCTGTTTTTGTTGTTTTGTTTCTGGTTTTTTTTCTAATCTGAGGGATCTCGTAAAATTTTCTAATGCCAACTCAGAAAATAACTGAAAGTGCTGTAATGCAGCATTTTAACTTGAACACAAAATTAATTGCTGAAGAGTAAAATACCCTTTTCACCGCCCTCACAAATGTCTCAACACAGTTCAACAACTGGGAGCTTCAAGCTACTGAGCAGAGTCTCTGTTGCTGCAACAATACGATAGAGGAAGGTTTAAGAGACAATATTTCCTCTCCCAATTCTTCTCCACGGCCTCTGTGGCGGCCGTGAGAGCCAACCCAGAGCATCACCACCACCACCAAGCCTGGAGGGAAGGCACGGAGAAAGACACTGCAACACTACAAAAGTTAAAGACGCTAAAGCAACCATAAAAATGAGCAAGACACAGAGATTTCACAACAGTCACAGGCGGGAAGGAGGGACTCCTGTTAAGCAGAATCCGAAAATGCCGAGTCCCCAGCTGAAGAGAGCTCAGCATGGGATTTCTGGGACAGTTTCATGTGAGGGCTGGCAAAACTTGGCGTTGGTGATTTCTTCTGCGTGGCCCTCTAACGGGTCTGCTAGTAAGGCTTCAATTTGTTCTGTATGGAAACAAATGCTGTTTTCAGTCAGCTCCAGTACAGATTTTTAAAATATTTTCAGAGCTAAAATTGGGGAAAGACGAGAAGAGTGAAAATCTTGCAGCAGATCCTTCTTTGATGACAGCAGTTTACTTCACATACTTACAAACGATGACATTGTATTAGACAGGTAGAAAAGCCACACATTTAGGAGTAAAGAAAGCAAATGCAGCAGCCTGCAGCACACACTTAAAAGCACAGCAGGCCTTGCAGCCTGGAAAGGAGCAACGCTGAAAATAATTTGGGAGCCCTGGCAGGAAGTCAGCCAAACACAAAGGAGACTTACTCCAAACACAAAGTCAGCCAAACACAAAGGAGACTTACTCTAACCTTGACATGCGATATGGAGGTAACTGCTCCTGGAAGACTGGATGTCTCTTTCTAAAAACATCTTCCAGCTCAAGCACGTGCTGACTGCAGAAATTACTGTGCAAAATCCTAAATGTATGGCCTCTTCATGGTCTGAAGCATCAACTTTATGGCCTAAACTGGACTACAGCCATATGATTATGATGTTCTCCTCCAGCCCACAATCTATTGACCTGGACATTTATCAAAGGGGTGGGTTTTTTTTTTTTATTTTGTGTGTGTTTTTTATTTTTAATTAGAATTAGCAATGTGCTTTAGAAAGGAACCATTACAATCCCATCATCTGCGGAAACTGTAATATGAGGACATGTTCTGTTAAACAAATTTCAGATTTTCTCAGAAACACGTCAATAGGTAAAGAACACTCCCCCCTCCACAGATACATGCACAGAAGGATACCATCATTCAAGAAAAACAGAGAATGCAAGATTAAAAGGCTTGTTTCATAAAATGCCATGAAGTACCCTCTGCTTAAATCCATAAGCCAGCACCACCTCACCTCAGTCTTATTAAAAAGCCTAGTGATGAACTATAGTCATTTTACAAGTCCTGTGGGTTACTCTGGTGCATCAAGATTGTTGCATAAATTCTTATTTCTACGCCTTGAGGCTTGCTTTAAGTGACATAACCAGTTCTCATGCATCAGTTCTTCTGCAGGGCTTTCCCCCAGGTGCTCTGAAAATGAAGCTACATGCCTCTCTCTGCACTCAGACTGACCAGGCGTCCCACAGGGTGCTCCACAGCAGGGATCTCTCCAGAAACCCACCACAGATTTGCTTCCCCCTGATTTCTCCCCAGTCCATCACCTGTGACAGCAGTCCCCAGTCTCTGCGCCGCAGATGAGTGTGGGATGGGATTCAAATGGGCAAGCCCCAGTGTCCGGGAAGCTGCCGGCACCACAGCGGACAACCCAAGGCATTGCCTGAGCGGCTCCATGTGCTGCAGCTGCTTTGGTGGGTGGGGAGAGCACTGGCCCGCAGGCTCAGCGATGCTTGTCTCTAACAGCTTCTATGCTCAGAACAAAAGTATTTCTACCAGGTATTGTTGGACTCATACAGGGTACTGCCAGCGCTTTTTGGGCAGCAGCAGCAATTTGGGGGCTCTCAGCCTTTTGGGGTAAAGGCTGGGGCTCAGCAGACTCAGGCTGGTTATACTAGCTGTGCTTTTGCTTGCTTGCCTTTTTTTATTTTCTAAGTCTGATTAGGATATTTACACAAATCCCAATCTTGCTTTTTGAGTTACTTTGTATCTTCTAAACTTCAACTTGGGACTTGCATTGGAAAAGAAGATGGAGGCATTTCCCCACTAAGTTTGAGGCTGTTCATGCAGCAGTCAGGGTAAGTTGTATCAAATTTTTCATTCAACTTCATTAAGCACAGGATATTAAGCACAGAAATGCAGCTTCACTATTCACAAATGCTGCTGTCATTAGATAAGCTTCTCTCCAACAGCAGCATGGCAAAGAGATTGCTTTTCAAAAGCGGGATTGAGGCCGGAGTCCCCGAGTAAAAGAATTTTTGGGCTGACAAATCATAACAGGCTGCAAAAGAAAGCTGAAGCAAGCTTTTAAAGCTCAAGTCATGAGCTCATGCAGTCCCTAAATAGCTTAACAATAAGCCACTTCGGGCTATCTGGCTTCATTTCCTGGTGATGGAAGCAAGATTGGAAGGGGAAGAACAGCGTATTCCTTTACTGGGCACAGACACTCAACGCTAGATTTCTCTCAGAGCACAGCTACACAATTCAATGCAACTCAAAATTGCACTGCGAGTTGCAGTGCCAAGTCCGGCTCCAGAGTAGGAGACTGACAAATAAAATACAGTGAAAGAGTCAGCATTCCTTCGTAAATGGATGTACTTGATATGTGGAGAACTAAGCGTCCATGTGACTGTTAGTGCTGAGCAAAATCTGGCATCATGGATGAAAATATTGTTTGCATTTCAATTTGCCCTTTCTAAATGTAGTAGTATTTCTAGTGATGTTAGTTTTGATGCGGAGCATTACTTCGCTCAACAAGAGACTTGCAAGAAGCAGGAATGAGAAAGCAGAACATTACTTTAAATGTCACTAGAAAATGAAAATAAAAACTGTGTCTGCAAGGATAATTGGGCAGAGCTATTCACGGAACCTCTCACAAGGAGATGAAGTGGGGCAGAGCCCAGTGCATCTCGTTATGACAGTAATACCTTCCAGCTTTTCCAGACATCCCGCAAGAGCCAGGCAGATCAGGATAAAGCCACCAGACCACCTGGCTGTGATAGCTGCTGGCTGCGCTGCTGCCTTGGGGGTGGCACTGCCGCCCACTGGCTCCCTGCAGCCTGCTGGGTTTGCACCCAGATGCCACCCAGACGACACCATCATCAGTTCTGCAAAACAAAATCGGCAGAGCCTGCCTTGTTACCTTGTATATACACTTGTGTAAGTCGCTAAGAACTCCCTCCTCCTCCTCCTCGTCCTCCTTCGTGGTCTCCTTTTCCTGAGCGAAGAGCCGCCGCCTGCCCGTCTTCAGTGGGACGTCGACTTCTTTTAACTTGTTGCGGAAGCCATTTTTGTGAACCACGCCGTTGATGAGTCCATTTTTGGGCTCAAACCGGGGCAAGGAATGGAACTTGTAGGCATTCTCCGAATGTCCCTCCAAAGGTCCTTTCCTCTTCTCCAAGATTTCCTTTTCCAGCAAGACCTCCTTCTCCAGTTTCTTGTGCTCCTCGGGGGAGAGGGAGTCATAGGAGAGCAAGTACTGGCAGTAGGCTTCTTGCAGCTTGGCCAGCCTGTCCTGTGCAGTTTTGGGGATGCGCAGCATGTCTGCCAGCTTGTTCCATTTCTTGAGGTCAGTCACTTGCTGCATCCCCCCCATCTCATTGATCAGCTGGACGAAGCAGGCCAGGTCGAGCTCGCAGCCTCCTGGGGTTCGTGCGTGCCAGGCAGCAGAGGAGGGGGAAAGGGAAACACAGGAGCAGGTTAGGAAAGCTGTGGGCGGCTCGTGTCAAGCGTGCTACCAGGCTGGGCACGTACGGGATGTGCCACCCGTACAGCTCTGGGCACTGGAGCAGGATTGTCCCTATCTCGTACGCCTCCTGCTAAAGACAGACTTGCCACTGTTTTGCTAGCTTAATTCATTCAGCAGATTATATTTTGCTATTTGCAATAGCCTTCCCTATGGTTAAATTTGCTCTCCTCCTTGACTTTCATTCCCTTCCCTTCTCAGAGCACCCCCAGCTATCTCCTGACATGCATCTTTCCCCTGGTCATTACCCAGTGGTCAGGGAGACGAGAGTTGCCCAGTTCTTTAAGAAGCCCGCACAATCCCGCCCTCCCCTCGCCTGCCACCAGTCCCACGTCTGATTTATACCAGGAAGAAGCAAAACAAGTGTCAAGATGGGTACTGGCAATCAAAAAGACAAGTACCTATCCTTTCTGCAGGTGAAACATCGATTATCTAATGTCTGCACAACACTTCAAATACAGTTAGTATTTAAAAGGAGCACAGTAACATCATTAATTTCACTACAGGTAGAAAAATTCTGAAAAAAACCAAGGGAGGCAGGGGGGTTGTTTGGGGTTGGTGCCTGCAACTGCATAAAAAAGTTTCAGACACATTATTCTTCCAGTTTGAGGCCATTCATATTTTATACTCCCTTACGTTTTTGTACGTTCCAAGATGACTAGCACATTTCACACTCCAGTCAAAAAATAAAAATGGACGATTATACAAACTGCAGCATAAAAAGCAGCCAAATGGACGAGAAACAACAAAAGAAACATCATAAATACTCTCAAAGCACAGAAATAAATCATCAGTAGAAAGAGTGAAGAAACAGACCAAAGACCACCTACAATTCAACAGGGCACTGCTAAAGGAAAAAAGAGAATTAATACAAAACTCACATCAACATCGCTGCCACCACATTGTCTTGCCTTCCCCTTTTTCTTTGAGAAAAGTAAAAAATCATTACACCATAGCTGTTTCAGAAGACTTAGAAATGCTATTATACAACAGAGAAGTGCAAGAAGCAGTGTTATGGTAAATATTTACTGTCGGATGCATAGCTACAGCATCTTAAGGGCCAGTTGTATCATCTTGCTTGCTAGCGCAAGCAGTATTACTTTCTTCAAACTACCTTGTGCTGCATCTCAGATGCTTCATAACTGATACCAATTTTCCTTCTTCCCTCTGCTTTCCCCTCTTCCACCACTTGTGCCAATCCAGTGAGGAGGGAGGCGCAGCAGTGTAAACCTGCGTGCAACATTTTGGGATGACAACGGTTGCATCCGAGGCAGAGCAGCACCAGAGGCTGCTTGCTCATCCTGCCCGCACAGTGCTGGGCAAAGGTGTGAAAAGAGGGGAAAGGATTTTGGCTGCAGCCAAAACCAAGGGTAAGGCTTTGAGGAGCATATGACAAGGGTGGAGGCAGGGCCATGGGGCAGCAAATTTATCCAATTTAGTAATATTTGGGGGGGTGGGTGTTTGTCAAAATGGTTAAGTCTTGAAGCTGAGAAAAGGTAAACAATGTTGGGAAAAAAAAAACCAAACAAGTTTGAAGGGTTTTCTTTCTTTCCTTCTTTCCTCTTTAATCTTCCCCATAAAATAACTTTCAGGCTGGCCTCTATTACAGGCTGGGGGTTTTTTTTTTTTTTTTTTTCAAGCTTGGTTTTTTTCCTTCTTTCCTCTTTAATCTTCCCCACATAAAATAATTCAGGCTGGCCTCTATTACAGGCTGTTATTTTTTTGGTCTATATATTCACAGTTCACAAATAAGCTGAAGGCATAATTCAAAGATAGCTTTCCACCCCAATAGATTCAGTTACCTACATAAAGTTGAGTAACATACTCCTAACTTTGAAAGAAGTGTGGTCCAGGTTTAACGTTGTATGTGTTCTCCAGTAGGACAAATAGTGCACACCCAGCTTAAGGTCCTAGTTTCAACACTGTTTATGAGCTATTTGAGAAACACGATTTTCTCCCGCAACATGGAATGATCGCTCATAATCACTCCGCAATATTAGAGCTCGAGTAGCACATCATTCAACCACAGCCTCACATATCTGGCAGATCCTCCACAGGGCCAGCTACAGCTAAGGTTTACAAAACGGTCACAATTATAATTCCATTTCACTCAGTCATAACTTTTGGAAGCATTTATATCTCAGGCTGATGTTTTCCAGGATTGACCTAAGCATGTTGCTTAAACTTTCCTTGAAAGGCTGAAGGTGGGGGGGAAGAGTTTTAACCCCATTTATAAGCACCTTTAGCAAAATGGCTTAAATAGGAGACCTGGCATATGTTGTGCAGAAATAGCGTCTTGACTTTTTTTGTTGTTGTTAATTGTCTTAATTTCACTGTTAGGGATATTTTTAAATTGCCTAGTGAGCAAGCTCATTTAAAGTAAAAAATCTTAAATCTTCAGGTATGCATTTAATACCAAATGCTGGCACTACACAAGTCGTTGGCAAAACTCCCACTTCCTTCAATGGAAATGTGATTTGGCCCTGAAAGGAGGGATATGTACATGTCTACTTAAATAAGTGTGCATTGATCACCACACATTATTTTATATCTTTCCTGCTGGAACCAACAGATTTCTCATCCTTGTACACTGATGATCTCCAGCGTCTTTTCTCCATTTTGTTTTTAATTTTAAACACAAGATAGGTAGGAAATGAACTGCAGAAAGGATACATAGGATGCAAATTTTATAAGAGACCACTGTTTGCTCTGGTTATATGGCACCCAGCAGAATAGAATCCTTGCCTATTAATTAGGCTCTTAGGTGCTTAAATAATACAAATAATTAACAGTAATGCCATCTTAATGCCGAGTTAAGGTATTTCATTAAAAAGTTAACATTGTTCCAGGAGCGTTAAACGAGCTGTCTTGCACATTTTCTTCTCTCTCTTGCCAATGTATATTTAATTCATTATTCTTCTCTATTAGCATACAACCAGTGCATACATTAGGCATACAAAATGTTCACTTATTGCTGCTTGAGTGATTTTAATTTTCAGATTTCCTTGAACATTTTTGCACCACTATTGCAACAGAGCACTAACCCTCGTTCCTCCTCCTTAAATTCTGTCATTTCTCTGTTGTGCCCTGCATCGGTTCACCATAAACTCTGCAATCTCTTTGCATGCTTTTATGCATTTTCACTCACTTACCATATGTGATACAAAATAAAGTTTGAAAACGGGGGGGTAAAAAGTGTTGTGAACAGTTTAAACAGAAGCGTGTCCTTTAATCCAACCAGCGTTGATAGCTGCCTCTGATCAGATAATCCTCAAAGGCAAAACTCTAGCCTCAAGTTGCAACATGCAGGTCCTGTGAGCTCTGACTCAAAACACTTCAAAAACAAAGGGAAGGGCTAACAAAAATTAAAAACACAAGTTTGTTACTACGTCATGGCTGCAAAGGCAGTAGAGATGGAGGTGGCTCATTCAATAGTTCATTTGTATGCTGCTGTTGTCATGTTTTTACAAACTATTGTCACATTTTTGTCACGTGTCATATTTGACAGCAGACCATAAACCAAGAATTCTGTTAAATAAGTGATTCTCACTCAGGCATTAGCCCTGGCAGACACCTGCTGGGAGAAATAATGAAACCTCCATTTTGCAATCAACCACATTTTACTGCCTATTTTTGACACTTAATGGTTGTTAAATGTCAGCAGGTCACTGCAAATTTGTAATTTTAAGTGTCTGAGTACCCAAATAGAAGTCAGTTCTGAGATATTTTCTTTCCCCCTTGGTTAAATGCTTTTAAAGGAAGGGAAAAAAAATATCTGTATTAAAGCTTGGCAGCATTACAACCTGTTTGGAAAACATCTTTGGAAAGGTCCGAAAAATATTCCGAGGCAACATTTAAACCGAGGCTATCAATATCCGTAGTTGCACTACCTACAAAAATAAAGAGCAGGGAAAGGAGAAGATCCTGAAATCTGGAGATCGAGACCCCACATAGCATTTTTTTCCCTGGGTGAAATAAAGAGCTGGCAGGAGAAAAGTGGCAATATAAAGTCTCCCTGGAAAGCTCTCCGACAACCTACCTGCATCGTGCCTGACCGATGGATAAAGAGAGAGATCCAGAGCTCTGCAGTGTTAATTGAACAGGGGTTCGGATAAGCATAAAGGCAAACGGAGCATAAAGTTGTATACGGACACTAACAAGCAGCGGCAAAAGGCCAATGAAACCACAGCCCTTACCTATGAGTGGGAGTTCGTCCATGGTAATGCCCTGAGATTTGAGGTGCTTCTTGATACAGGCCAGCCGCTGCACGTTGGGTCCCCAGCGCCTGCCTAGCTTGTGTATGTGCTGAATCTGTGTCACAAACCGCATTTCATCATTTAGCTTGCACTCAGGTCTCCAGTCTGGAGGAGGAATCACCCTGCACATCCCATACTTCTCTACCTGAGCTCGGACTGACTCAATGTATATCAGTGGGTCATGAAATTCCTTGGTGGAGGGCCTAAGGATGGGAATCTCCCCCAGCATCCCCCACCCAGACTTACTACTGCCCTTTTCGTGCTTTCCCATTGAGTCTTGTGGCTTGTGCAAGGACTCCGCTTGAGAGGTAGAACGATTTTCACAGGAGGCATTTTCAGTTTTGCCATGTGCTTGTTTCCCTGGCGTACTCTTTCCAGCAGTGGCTCTTTTTGGCCTATTTCTTTCCAAACTCTTCTCTGGCACTTCCTTTTTAAGGTGTCCATTCAGCAAAGGCTTTTCTACGGCTGCCTTTTTGCTGGCAGCTTCTGCCAAGTTGACGGCCCCTTTCATTCTCTTGGTGGGCGAGTGTATTTTGTCTATGTGATTCGTCTCTTCCAGCCTCCTCTTGGAATTGCGCAGCCCCTCCCTTAACTGTCTCCCCACCTCCTTAGTGCATGTCTTTTGGTTCAACTTGCCATTGACTTTTACACCATTAACAGCGGTATTGTTAGACTTGGATGCTCCAAGGGATAGCACCTGTTTGCGGGTTTTTGCATTGCTACTTTCTATTTTCCCTGAGATTGTGTGGTTGACAGGTGAACTGGGTTTGTGGTGATTTAGTTTGGTTTCCTTGACCAGTTCTTTCTTGGCTTTGGTGTATGTGACAGTTCCCTTTGTCACTGTTGCAGTGTACTTCACAGTTTTGGACGGTGAAGGTCTGACTTCTCTCATCTTTTTGGCACTGGCTGCATTTGCACTCGGAGATGACATTCGAGTGATCCCGTTGACTTTAGAAACCTGCAGTGCCAGGAGCGTTGCAGGGGGAGCAGAAGGAAGGAAACAGAAAACAGAAAAGTAAATTAATAATGTTACTACTCAGCCATGGTGTCCCAGTTGCTGGACAACCATATTCTGCAGTCCTGACTCCTGGCCCTTTCGTACAATCTTCATACAACAGTTTTCACCCAGGCAAGAGGAGGGACTGGGCATTTATAATAAACAAATAAAACAGAAATAACTTTTTAAAAAACAAATGAAAAAGTCCCCAGAAAGCCAGTCTTGCTTTTGGAAGGTACGAAGCCTCTGGCATTAAGAAGGGTGAGGTCCCTTGCTTGCACTACCCTCTTCCTTGTCTGCCAGAAAGCCTGTTATGGTATCACAAAATGCAGGTAGTCTGATTTACAAACTAATACTTTCATTATCTCCTCTTCTGGCCCTCAGACACTATCTCTCTCCCACCCAACTTCCCTCAAGTGCACGCACAGCTTACTACTTCTTAGCAGGCAAACTAGCCAGCATATACTATCTACTCCAACTGGAATGGGCACATTTTGCAAAAAACACGCACTGAGATTCAAACCAACCTCCTGTCTATACATACATACATAAATATAAAAAGAGATACTGAACACATTATGCACCCAACAGATCAGGACAGCCATGAAGAATCCAGTCTGTCATACATATTAAATCTTGGGAGGCATCTTGTTGCTGAAGTCATTATTTGAAATAAAAAATTTATACAGTAGTTCAAAGGTGGATAAGGGAAGAGCAACTGACGTCATCTGCTTGGACTTGTGCAAAGCATTTGATACTGTCTCGCATGACATCCTTGTCTCTAAATTGGAGAGACATGGATTTGATGGATGGAACACTCTGTGTGGATAAGGAATTGGCTGGATGGTCGCACTCAAAGAGTTGCCTCAAAGACTTGTGGTCAACGGCTCGATGTCCAAGTGGAGACCAGTGACGAGTTGTGTTCCTCAGGGGTCGGTATTGGGACTGGCACTGTTTAACATCTTTGCTGGTGACATGGACAATGGGATTGAGTGCACCCTCAGCAAGTTTGCTGACAACACCAAGCTGTGTGGTGCGGTAGACACCGCTGGAGGGAGGGATGCCATCCAGAAGGACCTTGACAGGTTTGAGAGCTGGGCCCGTGTGAACCTTGTGAAGTTCAACAAGGCCAAGTGCAAGGTCCTGCACATGGGTCGGGGCAATCCCAAGCCCAAATACAGGCTGGGCAGAGAATGGATTGAGAGCAGCCCTGAGAAGAAGGACTTGGGGGTGTTGGTTGATGAGAAGCTCAGTGTGACCCGGCAACGTACGCTTGCAGCCCAGAAAGCCAGCTGTATCCTGGGCTGTATCAAAAGAAGTGTGACCAGCAGGTTGAGGGAGGTGAATCTCCCATTCTACTCCGCTCTTGTGAGACCCCACTTGGAGTACTGCATTCAGCTCTGGGGCCCCCAACATAAGAAGGACATGGACCTCTTGGAGCAAGTCCAGAGGAGTGCCACGAAGATGGTCAGAGGGCTGGAGCACCTCTCCTTTGAAGACAGGCTGAGAGAGTTGGGGTTGTTCAGCCTGGAGAAGAGAAGGCTCCCATGAGACCTTATTTCAGCCTTTCAATACTTAAAGAGGGCTTATAAGA